AGTGCATAAATAAAAATAAAACAATAAAACACAACTTTCATTCAACATTCGGGTGGGGCAAATTAGAATCTTATCCCCATTTGATTCTTTTACACAAGGGTTCTATGTGTTTGTTTTCAATTAACTGCTAAATTAGTAAAAGTGGTGTAGCAACATCATAATCTGAACAGTTTTGCTTGTTTGAGATCTGCAAAGGGTGATGATATTCAATGGTTGCCTGTTTTATTTCATGGGACAATGCAGGAGGGAATTTCCAGGCATCATCGTGATGCATTACAAGAAATTGAATTAGCTCCAGTCCAACGAAAGATTGAAGCACGATCAGCAGAGGACTCTTTCACGGGCTTTGTGCGCACCTTATATTTTGCTGACACCTTCCTAAGAGACAGTAAGTAAGAAATACTTCACTTTTGAGGACTTGCAATGTGTCCCATTGCTCAGAGAACAAATAATGGTTAGTAGAGAGTATTTATCACTTCCTGGTCATTATTGGCTAGAATCTAACTCTCCACCAATGCCTACAAAATACACACACATGTGTGGATTTTTTGATTCTTTATAACTCATCACTACAATTGGTTGGAAACAATTAGGATTTCTGACATTAATGAAATATGTTCTCTTCTAGATAAAGGTTTTAGAAAGTGACTCTTCCAAATATTTCAACAGGTTTATTTGTTTGTTTTGGATCAGGAAATGTTTGTCAAGAGGAAAAGAACACACTGCACCCCTTTAATGAATGTGAACAGCAGCATGTGCACATTGATCCATGCACTTAAATCCTTACACTAAATATTAAATCACCTGGAACAGGTTGCAATAGCACTTAGGCTTATATACCGCTTCACAGTGCTTTACAGCTCTCTCTGAGAGGTTTACAGTGTCATCCTATTGATCCCAACAATCTGGGTTCTCATTTTACCAACCTCGAAAGGATGGAAGGCTGAGTCAACCTTGAGTCAGTAAGAATCGAACTGCTGGCAGCCGGCAGCCAGCAGAAGTAGCCTGCAGTACTGCATTCTAACCACTACACTCACTATGGCTCAGTGTGAGAGGTATGCATCTTGAATAAATGGCGACCACTGATCAATGGATCAGTGATCACCATTTCATTTCATTTTTCATTTATTTGGGATTTATAGGCCGCCCTTTTCCCTGAGGGAACTCAGGGCGGCTTACATTCATAGGAAAAGGGGGGTG